TGTTAACATTTACTAATAACTTGTTATATGACTGTAAATAATATAAAAAATATTAAAAATTAATTTTAGACAAATTTCTTTACACATTATTCTTTCACAATGCAGTCATTTTGACTGTTTTGGGCCATATAGGTATATACTAAGTTTCAGTCTTCCTAGTGTTAAAGTGAAATTTTTATATGAAGCACTAGGGGGAGACCATTAAAGAGTAACAGCCTTATGAGACTTTATGTAACACGAACAAGTCGGCAATTTTTGACGCCTGTGAGAATATATTACCACCGAAATAAAGAACAGAAAGCAAAACACTCGTCGGTGTTGAACAGTTGCCAGATACAAGAAAGGTCCTATCCAATTTTCTTCTAATTCCACTCGTTAAAAAATAATTGGCGATGATCAAATTAATTAATTGATTAGTCCTGAATTATTCGAGATAGAAGAAAATTGTATACGACTTTTACTTAAAGCGTTTTTGAAATTTCGGGAAAAAGAAGATTTTTCAATTTTTCTTTCGTTTAGGTTAAGTCAAAAATACAAAGTGCCATTTAAAAAGATGAAGGCGACTTTGACAATAGTAAAAAAAAATTTTCTTTCCATTTTTCTTGCAATGTATAGCCAATTGAAAACTAATCAACTTTTGTCTAAAATATCTTTTTGTCAAATTATCGCAAGTACTTGAAAAATGATGTAAAGTGTTACGTGGGACACCCTGTATATATATACTCCATTCTTAATAAGAAAACACATATTATTTACTTAATAATTGCCATTATTTCAATAGGAACTGTAAATTTAACTCCTTTAGATACACTTAACTCATTGGTATCCTGTACGCATATTTTTAATTGCATTGAAATACAAACCCTTAAATATCTCAATTTAAGTATAAATGGACTTAGGCCACTTTCAAAATAAACGGCTCAAGCGTTTTACCTCATAGCTACTCTTTCTGTAGTCCTAGATAACGTCGAATAAAACAGAGTATCTTGTCAATTTCTTGATTCCTTAACGCCCACGTTCATACCTAACTCTCGCGCCAGTCACTTACAATACAGTTCATACCCTACAACTCTTGTTCTAAACTTTTATTGCCAGATGACTGCAACTGGGTAAAAAATCGTGCGTCACGTCAGACGTAACACACTATATAAAGAAATAATGTATAAAAATGAATGAAATATCAGAAGCTTTATGCTTAAATGATATTTCTATTCGAATCACATTTTCTAAATGTCTTATTGTATAAAATGCGCGGTCTAGTTATTATAGGAATTGTCTAATCTTGTAGAGATTTGTAGAACACGCAATACCTCGGCTGCGGTGAAGACAAAAGTGTTGAAGGAGACGAAGAAGAAGGCCGCCGCTGTGCAGAGGAGTAGCATAAACGAAGACAACGCGAGGATCGTTGCCAGCAGCACCAGAAGCCTCGCGTGGCTCCAACCAGTCGTCGTAGGTGAAAAAGATAGCTGAAAATGAATTAAACAAGCAAATTAGTATTGATAGAAGAAGTTTTAAAAGTATTACAAATAAAAATACTCAGAATTATGTAATATGTATATTAATTATGCAATATTTAATCAAATTTGAGGATTTAATCCTCAGATTGTTTTATGTGTAACAGATTTGTATCTGAATGCACGCATTATATTTCACAGATTTTTAGTGTTATTATATTTAGTTGTAAAAAGACAGATATACTGTAAATGAAATTTTTTATTAACTCAAACTTCTGTGTTGCCACAACGACTATGCAAACACAGATTAGTCTTTTGGGGATCGATGCTAAAAGATCATCACAGAGATTCGTATAAACTATAAATCATGCATCGAAGCAATAGAATTCTCTTATACAGGGTGGTCTAAGCAACGTGTGCACCGTTATAATTTCCAAAATATACATGGTTTAAAAGGGTACACTATGTAAGTAGTGCATTAATTTTTTTTATAGGTAGAGGCATTTCAGAGATTTGAAAATCAATTTTGTTTTTTCAAACAGAATACTATATTTTTTTATACCAAAATATGGTAGAGTATTGAATTGTAAGTAAAAGAAATATTGACCGTTATTAGTCCTAAACCTAATAGCTAACGAGTAACTTCACTTTATTAGTTGAAAATTTTTTTCACGTAATATCAAATTGGAAATTCAACGTTATATCACAGATTTCCGCAGAACAGTGATGTTTACGTGACAGTTAACACTAGATTGCCCAAGGAAGTCATTTTGACTGGTTTTGGGCAAATGTACAAATAATAATGCATAAATTTTTTTTTTCCCCAAGTGAAGTAAATTTCTTTTGGTTAACATTTACTAATAACTTGTTATATGACTGTAAATAATATAAAAAATATTAAAAATTAATTTTAGACAAATTTCTTTACACATTATTCTTTCACAATGCAGTCATTTTGACTG